TAACAAAAAATATATTAAAAAATATAAATATATACATATACATACATATGGAGCTTTGGTAGCATAGTGGTTATGAATCAGGCTGCTAATCTGAAGGTAAGCACAGAGAGAGAGTCCTGGTGTAGCACTGTAGGAAAAGCACTGGACCACAAGGTTATGTCTAAGCTGCAAAGTGGTGGTTCAAACACACCAGCTGCTCCTTGGAAACCCTATACAGTTGGAACCAACTTGATGGCACTTTACAACAACATATACATATATATATATGTGTGTGTGTGTGTGTGTATACATATATATATATACACACACACACATACATATGTGTATACACATATATCACTATTCTTTGAACATTTGTATTTTCTATGTTGAATCAAACTTTTTTTAGGTGGCATATTTGCTTGTACATGACTGGCGAACAAACAACATTTTGATTAAAAAAACAAGTAAGCAAAACCCCTATCAAATAGAAAGAACTGACAGATTTAAATCTCTCACATAATTGTTTGCATATGTTACATATTTTTCTTTCCTTTGGAGAATATGCTTTCTTACTAGGTTATCTGTTAGTAGGAAATGTGGAGTTAACTTTTACTGAAAAAAATTTGTTTTTTTGTGCTTGGTTCCTGAAAGATTGTGTCTAAAACCTCTGAATTTACCCAGTGATTAAAGTATCTAAGAGAATTCCAGACCACACCTAACTCAACAGAGTGTCATGGATTAAGTTATGTCCCTCCAAAATATGTGTCAACTTGGGTGGGCCAAGACTTGTAGTGATGTAGTTTGGCAGTTACGTAATGTAACCGTTCTCCATGTTATGCTCAGCCAATCAGTTGTAAAGGGACTAGGGTGGGAAGCAACACCCTTACTCAGGGGTCACAGCCCTGACCCAATGTAAGGGGAGTTTCCTTGTGTGTGACCTGCATCACTTTTTATTTTACAAGAGATCCAAGTACAGAGAGAAGCCAGCAGAGGCAGAGAGACCTGGAAACGGAAGTGGGAGTGGAGTACATCTCTGGACCCAGAGTCTCTGTGCTGAGAACCTCCTAGACTCAGGGGAAGATTGATGCCAAGACACATGTAGATCTCCAAGAAATTCTAGATGTTGAAAGGAGACAAGGACTCTTCCTCCAGAGCTGACATAGAAAGAAAGCCTTTGCCTAGAGCTGAGTGGGGATCCTCTTAATCTGTGAGAGAATAAAATGTCTGCTTGTTAAAACCATCTACTTGTGGTATTTCTGTTATAGCAGCACTAGAGAACTAAGACAAATGTTATGCTAATGAGGTGACTCTTGGGTAGGAGCTGAAGAGGCTAGAAAAACCCACTCTGTGTGACATTAACTGATTTCACAAAAGAGGGGCTAAATTTTATGTAATCAGGGCCCAATGAAAGCTCCTGGCTGGTAAAAGATGCAGACTTATGTGGCAGGATAATACATCCCTCTTTGGAACATGAAAGCTCTGCGATGGGAATCTGTCCAGATCTTCCTTTATGTGTTTCTTCATTTGCCTCCCTTTTGCTATACTAAAACTATAATCAAAAGTACTGTAATTTATTTTAGTTCTGTGAATTATTTTAGCAAACTATTGAACACAGAGAAGTAGTGTGAACCAGGGTCAGAAGTGAGGGGACTGGTATCCTGGGAGGATAATGAGAAAACACCTAAGGTGTAGCTCGCTGGTGAGAACTGATGGGGTCAGGGTGACTCTTTAGTCTGAGGCTGGTCTCTGAGCTCCTGGGCAGTTGGCAGCCTGAAGGACTGAAATGACCTTTCATTTCTCCAGGTGGTTATGGTTGGCAGAGGCAAGTGATGCTTAGGCAGTTAGTTTTCAGAACAGAAGTGGAACAAAGGGGAACTCCTGATACGAACTGAATTGATGCTTCCAATTTGGTGTGAGAAGCTGTACTTTATTTTTCCATGCAGGTAATGAAATGCAACTAAGCACTAACCTACTAAATCTTCCCTGGAAGCAGCAGAACGTGGTGTGCTTGTCCCTGGCTCTATCTTTAATGAAAGCCTAAATTTCAAAAAGAAATAAAATATGATTAATTGACAAAATAATAGGAAAAGTCACAAAAAAATTAAAGACATTTCTATAAAATACTCAGCTATATATTTTCTTTAAGAACATTCTTTAATCGTCAAGCCTCCTATCTCTTTCACTCTACGTCAGTCTTATTAGGGAGAAAGACACTCATTACAGAGGTGTGTTAGAAAATCTCCACGAGCTATTCCAAAGTTGCCCAACAATTCAACATACTTAGATATTTGTTGAATGATTAAAAAGTGATCTGACTTGAGGTCATCGATACCTGACAACACTAAAGTTCAGGAACTTTCACATATACATTAAGTATATTACACAAATTCTTTTAAGATATTAATTCTGACTCATAACGACACTATAGGTCAGAGTAGAATTGCTCCTTTCAGTTTCGGAGACTGTTTGGGATCAGGCAGCCTTGTACTTTTGCCAAGGAGTGGCTGGTGTGTTTGAACTGCTGACTTTGTGGTGAACAGCCCAAAGCTTAACCCACTGCACTATAGGGCTCGATTATAGCACTGAAAATTTCAAAAACACTTTATTTATAGCTAACCAACTAATGAACCAAACAAACTCAACTTATCACAACAACGATCTATACAAATAAAAAGGTTGCTGGCAACAGCCTTGGTAAACTGTCCTAAGTCAAAATTTACTGGTTTATTCGTTTCATTTAGTGTAACATATCTAGTCTTGAGTTTCACAGTAAGAGAGATTATTATTTCTATTATTATTTCTATCAGTGGAAACTAAGAAAATTGTACACTGAAGCAGCTGTAGAAAACACTTTGCTGTATTCTATGATTCCTACTATTCAGCATTTGCTTGAAACTTTATAAAATTGTTTAGTATTCTATTAATTAGGATTTTTATGAAACTGCACAATATAAGTGAAAGTCACAATGACAAATATACTAGAGGGTTTTTAGTTTATTTTAGTTATTTTATTTGATAACCTAAGAAGAAATTAAGTATAATTATATGCCGATTATATGCCAATTTAAAAATCTATCTGCTGAACAGATGGATGATTAATTAGAATGCTATTCTTTTTTTTTTTTTTTTTTAAAGAAGCAGTTTAATTATTTAGGTTACACACTACACTGCATTCACTGATTTGATATTTACTGAATCCCTATTTTGTGTTGGGTATGCTCAGTGTTGTGAATAGAGACTGAGGTAGACATTGTGTCCCAACCCTTCTGAAGCTTACAGGCTAGAAGACAAAGTAAAATATTTTCAATTTCCTACTACAGTGCCAACATGGAAAGGAACAGAAAGGGAGCTGCTGGGCGAATCACAATGCTCTCAGTAGTAGCTGATAACTGACAGCATTATATAAAAAAGCAAAAGCTGCTTAAAAGCACAAACGTAAGGGCTCGCCAAGGGTTCAGTTAGGTGCAGTATCATCAAGACAGCATGTAACAATCAATAGTGATGCTGGGCCACTGAGAAAAGAGATTATGTTCAGTATTGTTGTTGTTAAGTGCCGTTGAGTCGGCATAGCAACCCTATGTACGGTTTCCGATGAATGACTGGTGAGCTTCAACTGCTGACCCCGTCGTTCAAACTGACTGTGTGTTCCAGTGTATTAACCTACAGCACTACACCAGGACTTAGTATTGAAAGGAATTAATTTAGATTTTCATTAGAATTAAAGCACATGCATATAATTTGTACTATCTAGACTAGCTACTTAGATAAAGCTGCCAAACAGAAGCCTTTGGTTGGTGAAGTGTCATTGATATCATTTTAATCTAAATATGTTGCTTCATAAAAGCCATCTTTTTTTTTTCCTTTAATGATTTCAATGGCTTTTCAGTTAAAATGCTCTAGGGGTTGTCATGAGTCAAAAATCGACTTAATGGCAATTACCAATACATAGTTTCAACATGTATAATTACATAGCTTCATGAAACAACTACATTGTTAGAAGAAAAAAAAATGCTATACATCAACACCACCAAGTAACTTGTGGTCCTCCATGCTAACAGGCTTTCTCACCCCATTTCTCTGATCACCTCATATCCTGGACTACATTCCCTACCCTTCAGCTCAGGTGACTATGCTGTTAAACTATTCTTTTCCTGTCTCCTCACTTTCCTTGCTCAAAGCAGGATTGTTATTGCTGTTGTTACATGCCAATGACTCATTTCCAACTCAGCAATCCTGTATGGTTTCCAAGACTGGCTAGTGGGTTTGAACCTCTGTCCTAGTGGTTATTAGTCCACTGATTACCCTGTATCACCACACCAGCACTCTGAAGGTGGATTAAGCCTCTTCTTATCTAGATTCCCAAAGTGCTCTGGGCATCACCCCAAACAGCAGTATTCACACTGTTTTGTAATTGTCTGTTTGGTAGATGTGTTAGACTACATTAGACTAAGGTCAAGAAGAGTATTTTATTATTTTTATAATCCCAGAAATTTGTACAATGACTGGCCTGTAGCAAAAACTTAATGAAACACAGGTAGTCCCTAACTTAAAGCCTCGTTGAGTCAGAATCAACTTACAGCACTTTAACGACAGCAGTCCCTAACTTATGGATGTATTCAAGTTCCTATGAACTGACTTACTACTACCCATATTTAAAAAATTCAGTCTATCACATTGTTAGCGATATGTTGCAGTGTATAATTTGTATCATTCTCAAATGTCCATTCACAGATTTTCAATTTATGGTTTGTTGTTCTAAACACTGCTAGAATTATAAAGATACTGGTAACAAAGAGCAATAATAATTAAAAGGAAAAAAAAAGATATTTGATTCATGGCAGAACTAATTTACAACAGAGTCACTAGAAGTTTAAGTCAGGAACGGACCTCCATTTAAAAACATAAGATCTACTACACATCTTTCTGTTGTTGCTGTTAAGTGGTACCACTGTGTATGTGTGGACTATATGTAGATAAATAGGTAGGCTGCTCTCTCTAGTTCTACATATTCCTGAAAACAAAAATCAATACTAGCATCAGCTTCTCCACAATAATGATCTATACTTAGTATGTCAATTTATAGACAGACATAATCACTTAGTGACTTAAATGGCAAAGTAGAAATGATCTCCAATAAGCACTTTACTACAGTAGTTAAAATTCATCATCTTCTATAATTATACAGAAACTTCTAAAGCATCACCACTATTTTAATAGTTACAAATGCAACTTCTTTTAAATTCAATTAAGTTTCTTGAGTCAAAGAAATGTTTAATAGCTTACTTATATTTTTGATTTTGAAATAATTTCCTTACTAGACAAAATATACATAAGTATATTTATTATAAACATGTACTATGCCCACAAGTAGAGAGATGGGGTGAGAAAGATATGAGACATAGTCTATCAAACTCAAGAAGTTTATAATCAAAGGCAACAAGAGACTTGTGAAACCACTCCAGCCTAAAGCTAATCCATTGACTTCACAGATTTACAAATGAGTTACCAGGTAAAAATGTTTTATAAAATAAAAATTGGTATAGAAGTAACATCACTTTAGTAGTAAGACTATGGTGTGGGAGAATATTTTAATATTCAAACAAGAAAAAAATCTTGGCTACATTAAAAAATATATTCAAGGCTTCCGTATAATATTTAACATTTTATGAAATCCTGTTTATATTTGTTTTTCAAAGTTTCTAGTGGATCAGCATTGGACTGTGAACCACAAGGTTGGCAGTTCAAACCCACCAGCTGTTTTCTCAGAAACCCCACACCTGGTCGCTATTAGTCTGAACTGACTTGACAGCACTTAACAACAATAACAATTCTGTTCTGCAGAATTCTTTAAGAAATTGCTGAAACCCATGAAACAGGGAGGCTTATAATCACTCACATATGAGATTAGATAGATGAATACATGGTTATATAATTTATTAGTACTGAAAAATAATCTACTCTTTTCACCTTAATAACATTTTAAAATATAAAAAATATTGAGAAAATCAAGTTCAATTTCAAAGCTTGGAAATAACTGGTTTGATAAAGCTAAGCCAAAAAAACAAGCAAAAAATTTAATAAACAAATGCAATTCAAAAAAAATGAGAAGCCTCAAGAGAAACAAGCTCTTTAATCTCCTACTTTTAAAAATCCACAAATCCACAGCCGTTATAGATCACACACTATAACGTTATAGAGCCATTATAGTGAATGAGAAAAAGAGTAAGTAATATTTAAACTGCCTCAATCTCGGAGAGTTCTATGAATAGCAGGGAGAAAGACAAGGATATTTAGTGATTTTTAAAGGTGATTTAAAATAACTAGCAAAGGACCTGCACAAGTCAAAAATTATCCATACTCTGGCTGCATAATTTTAATCAACTTTTAGAAAAGACAAATAACATCATTGACATAATCTCTTTGTTTTTCAGTACACTTTGTCCATCTGTCAACAAGCTTTTTATTCATCAGAAGTGAATCTTCTTCCTTGAGGAACTGCTTTCAGGGGATCAAAAAAGTCCGGTGAAGCACGATCAGGACTACAGGGAAGATGCTTTAACACCTCAAAATGAAGTTTTTGCAGAGTGTCAACAGTGGGGGCAGAGTATGTGGACATGCATTTTCATGCAAGATCACAATGTCCATGGATAGCAGTCTCTGCGTTTAACCCGGTTTAGGCTTCAGCTCTTCAGTGAGCATCTCACTGTAATGAGCACTGTTGATTGTCAATCTTTTTTCCTGATAGTGTTCCAATACTGGCCCTTGAAATCCCCAGAAAACAGTAAGCATCAATTTTCCAGCTGATGGTTGGATGACTTTTGAACTTTTTCTAGATCAACAATTGAAGATGTTTCCATTCCATTTCTTTGCCGTTTATGCTGAGGCTCATAGTGATGAATCCATGTCTCGTCATCAGGAACTTATTATTATTTTTTTTTTAGGAACAATTTTTTAAAAGAAACTTTTACCTTCCTCTGAGTATTGGTCTAAATTTTTGTTTTCAGATGCCCAAACTCTTCTGTTTATGCTCCTCCATGATCTGTTTTGGTGCCCATCTTGCACAAGCTTTGGGAAACCCAAGTCTGTTGTGGATTATTTCACGGGCAAAGCCATGGCTGATTTGCAAATTATTTGCCACATAATCCACTGTCACTTGTCTATTTGACAGACAAGTGTTGTCACACTGAATGTTGTCATCATCTGTGGACATACATGGGTGTTTTAATATAACTGGAGTGCAGATAATTTTTGACTCACCCTCGTATGATACAGCAGCAAGAGTAACTAAGTGGAGTGCTACATTGCGGAAATAGGTCTCTTTATCCAGAGACATGAAGGTTTAGTATTTTCTCAAAAAACAAAACAAACAACAAAAAAACCTTAAAGATATGTCAAAACATTAATTTATATACATTCTATTTCTTTCAGAGTTTTGTCAAATTTCAGTACATTATGAGATATAGTTTCATAAAAAGTCAATTCTTCAATATGGGGAAAAGAAGAAATTTAAATCACTATAGTAACTATCCAAGGAGCTCTGGTAGCGTACTGGTTACAAATCAGGCTGCGAACAGCAAGGTCAGCAGTTCAAAACTACCAGCTGCTCCGCGGGAGAAAGATGAGGCTTTCTGCTCCCTTAAAGATTAACAGCCTCGGAAACCCTGTGTAGGGTCGCTATGAGTCGGAACCGACTCCACAGCACATAACAACAACAACAACAACAACAACATAGTAACTATCCAAAATTGGCTCTCAACAACTTGAGAAAAATAAAACATCTTTTCATAAAAGAAAAAATGAGGTATCTGTTATTGTTGTTGTTAAGTACCGTGGAGTCGGTTCCAACTCATAGTGACACTGCAAAGGGATTCCGAGGCTGTAAATCTTTACGGGAGCATAACACGCCTCATCTTTCTCCAGTGGAACCACTTCGAACTGCTGACCTTGAGGTTGGCAGCCCGACTTGTAACCACTACACTATAGGCACAATTATATTGTGATGATATAAAATAATTACCTTTACTACTGCAAACTTACCACTGTGTTAGACATATGCATGACATGTATAAGAAAAAATGTAAGGCGCTAACTACATAGGAATAGAAGGGTGGAAGGCAAGATAAAGTCATACAAAATATCTTTCAAGATTAAACCTACTTGTAATTATCATCCTCCACAAACTTCTGTAGCTCTTCTATATACTGCACCGAGTTCAGATACTTTTGGACATGAGGCAACATGGGAATATCTAGGCAAAAAGTGATAGTTACCCTATAAAGTACATTTTAACCAAAACCTAGAATTTAACTTTTAAAAGAGTATTTTATCTTATATGGATCTTAAGCAGAATTTGAAACGTTAACAGGAAAATTTAATTAAAAGTAAATTAAGGCCACATGGCATCAAAATCTAAATTACTCTAGAAAGGCATTTCTGAGGCAAACGTACTTGATGTCAAACTGAAGGTAATTTAGAAATCTTACCTGGACTATAATGCAGAAGCCAGTGAGTTATATACAGAGAGTTATGAGAGCACAGACAAAACTTTTATTTGGATGCTGTGTGTATATTTTATAAAACAGCTCCATGTATAGTTTCACAAATTTTGTAAAAATATCGGAACTTCATTTTAATGAATTTAAGATGTAAAGGCAGTGTTTTTAGTTGTTGTTAAAGAAACCTGGCTCCCTTTTGTAAATATGTTTTCTCCCCCTAAGTACACATTTGAATAACATTAAATTTGCATTGTAATTTAATGTTGTGATTTAAAAAATCTAAGGAAAAGTAAGAATAAAATTATTTACTTAATTTTCAGTAAGATCATTTCCCTCTCCCCTAGACACATTTTTTTAAGGTATGTTGTTGTTTCAAGTTCATAGAGTCAGTTCCAACTCATAGTGATCCTGTGTAGGGTTCTCCAAGGAGAGTGGCTGGTGGCTTTGTACCTCTGACCTTGCAGTTAGCAATCCAGTGCTAATCCCATAGTACCACACAGTTAGCTTTGAGACAAATTCATTTTAAATAAATCAAGCAAGGCAACCTCATTGCTCTGAACACTATACAAGTTATATGTGGGAATCTGTTAAAATTTTAATTACTTGTTGCTGTTTAAAATAGTTCAAACTCAGAGCAATCAGCTGTGGGATTGGACTGCCAATCTTGTGGTACTTTAGTAGTCCAGTGCTTATCATACAGCGTCACATTTTGATCACTAGGGTTAGTTAGGAATAAAAGTTGAATGGCATCAATAGATTTTTTTATGTCCCAAGTTTAAGGAAAAGTGGCAGCCTTCTGATAATAGTAAAATTGAAATAATAATAGTGACAATTATGTTCTCAATTCAAATGCAAAATAAATTACTGATAACATGAAAATAGACCTTAACATTTTCAAATATAAACAAATGTTACAAAAGCCACAGCTCCTGGTGTGGTACTTTAGGATAAGCACTGCACTACTAATCACAAGGTTGGTGGCTCAAACCTCTTTCCTTGGAAACCCTATATAGGGTCACTATGAATTGATGCTTAAGAACAACAAACCACCACCATAACTCCCTAACAAATTAGAAGCACTGAAACAAAAACAAAAAAACCCTTTCCTAATTATCTGTGTTGTCTTAGGTCTTTCCAGATGTCTTTCCATAAACTATAAAATACACCTTGGACAAGAATTGGTTACTTACTCAATATCTAACTCAAAAAAAGCTAGTCACTAAAATAAAGGGTCTTAACTCCTTCCTTTCTCTTAGTGAAAGATGTAAGATCTCTTTACATAGTAGATTTGTTGTTGGTAAGTGTCGTCGAGTCGGTTCTGACCCATAGCGACCGCTAGAGGGTTTCCAAGGAACGAATGGTGAGATTGAACCACCAACCTTGCAGTCTAGCACATTAACCCACAGCACCACACCAGGATAAGGAAGGTCAATGAGATGATGGTATATAAAGTTTTGTAAACTATAAAGGGATAAGTAACTGTGAAGCACTAGATTGCTAACTACAAGGTCGGCAGTTCAAACCCACCAGGTGCTTCTGAGAAAGCCTACACAGGGTCACTATGAGTTGGAACTGAGTCGACAGCACTTAACAAGTAATGTAGTTAGTTACTGCCTTTGGGCTCTGTGAGCAAAACTGCTACAAATAACAAAAGAACAACAACAGATACAAACCTAAAATTCATTAATATTTAATACTTCAGTTTCTTTAAAACAGTATGCAAAATATTAACTGATGGAATGGAAAAAAAAATAACTAAAATCTTCCTGTATGTTGTTAGGCTGAAAACCAGAAATAGATGTTATAAATGAACCAACAGAACCACCGCATGATGTTGGTGTAGCCTTAATCCCCACGAACTTACCATATTCACAGGATTGCTGTAAGTCAGAAATTATTCTAAGGATGTTATTCATTAAATTTGATCTTTGCTCATTTTCTAGAATGCTGCCAGTTGATGGGTACGCCGAATCAATATACGTTAAATCTGACAAATAGATACCTGAAACAAAATGAGATATATGTGTTCTTACTTGTAGTTTGGAAGTGTATGAAAAAGTAAAGGGAGGGCTAGCTCTTTTACAGCTACATTTCAATATGTGTCATATTTAAAACACATTATACTGCAACCTTATTAAAACACAACCACTGAGAGCTAGATTCCATACAGTTGCAGGTCAGACATGCAAATAATACACTTCTTACAACTGTCTTAATTGGGGGTGGGGGGGGGGAGTCTTCTTGTGATGCCATTTAAAGTCTAGGCTTGAGCCTCGAGTTCGAAGGAAATTCCAGCAACATATGGAACCTAATGGAAAGAGGCTGAGCTCTTGAAATGGTCTGCCCTGGATTAGTAGTACAAATTATAGTCAATTTTAATCTCTCTGAACCTCAGTTTTTCCATCTATGCAAAGAGTACCTATTTTCCAAGTTATGGTAAAGTCTGAAGAAATTAATGACAGTTCTGTACTCTTAGCCATAAGTTGACAGCTACCATTATTTTCATTTAAATTTGAATTACTTTGAACATTGTCTCATTTGAGTAGAAATGCCTTTAAAATTAAAGATTTATAATTACGTTTCTGAAATTTATAATTACGTTTCTACAAACGGAAGTTAATGTTTTCCTACTACTTTTACTTTACATCAAAGTAACATAGAACGCATATGCCTCCTCTGTGACTCCTTCACCCCCCAATAATTTGGCTGTACCAGTTCTGGAGAGAATGGCTCAAACAATATTGTAGGCCTTAGTGAACTGAAATGGACAGGTACTGGCCATTGTGAATTGGATACGGTTTACTATGCCAAGAAAGGCAAGTTGAAGAGGAATAGTGTCATATTCATTGTCAAAAAAAGCATTTCAAGATCTATCTTGACATACAAAGCTGTCTGTGATAGGATAATATCCATATGCCTATAAGGAAGACCAGTTAATAGTAGTATTAATCAAATTATAATGATGAAATTGAAGAAATCTAAGTTCTTCAGTCTGAAGTTGATCGATCATGCAATTAGAGGTTAATTACTAGCATTGGGAATGTGAAAGTTGGAAACAAAAAGGAAGGAACCATAGTTGGAAAATGCCTTGGTGATAGAAACTGTGCTGGCGAACTCAAGATAGAATTTTGTTAACATCGATGACTTACTCATTACAAATATTTTTTTTCAACAACATAAAAGGCATATACGTGAGCCTCACCTGATGCAATGCACAGAAATCAAATCAACTACATTTGTAGGAAGAGGCAAATGGAGAACCTCAATATCATCAGCCAAAACAAGACCATGGGCCAACTATGGAACAGACCATCAATTGCTCATGAAAGTTCAGGCTGAAGCTGAGAAGAAAAAAACAGTCCATGAAAGCCAAAGTATGACCTTGAATACATCCCACCTGAATTTAAAAGATAATGGAATTTTTAGATGAATTATTTGAACCTCCCTCATATGTGTAGTACTTTGTTTTGCCTTTGAAATGGTTGTTAGCACTTTACTCATTTCCTTGTTAACTTAATGATTTAAGTAAAATCTTTGACATGTATTCATTTTATATCTGTGTGAAAATCATGATTTGATCCTTAAAAAAAGTATTCTTCAAAATAATTAGTTTCTGTGTATGGTGATGAAAATCTGATCATGATTATGGTTGTCAGTTACAGAACATGATTAATGTAATTGATATCACTAACTTGTATGTATACCTGAAAAATGTTGAATTGATAAATTATATATTTTTTATTAATGAAAAATATTAAAAAGTTTCAGTATATGTAACATTTTCAAACATACTAAAATTGACATCTGCGAGCCACCAACTAGAGACATGAACATCACTAATACTAATGGACCACCTATATGCCCTGCCTCTGTGTCATACACTTGTCTCCTGTCCAGAGTGTTAATATTCTGTTGTTCCTTTCCCAAGACATATACATCCTGCACAATATATTCTTTACTTTTGCTAATTTTTGAACTTTAAAAATAATTTTTATGTGTGTGTAGTTAAATGGCAATATTTGCAAAGCCATTATAACAGTGTATGGTAGACAATAAGTGATTTATAAACATTTGTTAAAACATTAAAAATTTATAGTCTTCTGTGATTGTTTTTTCTCATAATTTTGTTTCTAAGACTCATCTGTTGTATAAAATGAAGCTGGATTTCCTCCCTTAAATTTCTATACCACAAGGACCCTGGCGGCACGGTAATTATAACACTCGAGCTGCCAACCAAATATCGGTTGTGCAAAGCTAGCCACTACTTCATGAGAGAAAGATGTGACACAGCCCCATTTTTGTATAGGATTTATAGACCTGGAAACCCTATGGAGAGGGTCTCTCTGAGTCAGAACTGACTCAACAGCAGTGAGTTTCATTTTTTAACAACTATATTACAGTCTACTTACAGGCATTCCCCGAATTACGACCATCTGACTTATGGACAACTTGAGTTTGCCCTTTAATAGGATGTAAATTTGTCCTAATCTTGAAATGACTGCATCAAAAAGTAATTTCCAACAAATTCTTAATCACAATCACCTTCGCTTGCTTGCATGTGCAGCTATTAAAATCACTTGAGAGGTTTTGAAACTTTTCTTGCATTCAAGTAAGCTAAATAAAAACTGTATGTACCTGCTGTGATTTAGTAACAAAATTTGACTTAAAGACAGACTTTTGAATAGATCTTTCTTAACTTCCTGTATTTTACTGTTGTTAAGATTTCTGGGTTATTTCCCTGCATCCCTCATGTTGCTATAGACATTTTTATACATTCTTATGCTTCCTGGTATACATGTGCAAGAATTACTCTAGAACATCTGTCTTGCTAGGTCCCTGAATGTATTAATGGAGCCCTGGTGATGCTGTGGTTAAGTGCTCAGCTGCTAACCAAAAAGTGATTAGAACCAACCAGCAGCTTCATTGGAAAAAGATGTGGGCAGTCTGCTTGTGTAACTTGAAAACCCTATAGGGCAGTTCTACTCTATCCTATAGGGTTTTTGTGCATCAGAATCAACTCAAAGGTAATGGGAGGAAGATATATTAATGATCACCCATACAAGACAATGTCATATTATTTTGCAAAGCAATTATCAATGAATACTTCTACTACTGACAGTATATAACTTTCTGCTGATGCACATTTATGCTAACACTTGATATTACGCCATTTTAATATGTGCCAATTTTATGAGTATAAAATAGTTTCCAATGATGTAAATTTTCATTCCCTTTACTAGTAAAAAGCCTCTAAGCATCTTCACTTCTATGAACTACCTTTTAACTACTTTTTTCCCTCTTGCGTTGTCTTTTTCTTACTGATTTCTAAGTTGTTTTTTTTAGCCTCTAAATTCTTACGTAAATTAAAGATACTAATCCTTTGTCAGTTAAATGCTATCCAGTCATTCTACAATCTACTCCATATAACCTGAAATCTTCATTTGTTACAGTAGCAAAATTAATTTCAGTAAAAACATTAATACTCTTATTGAGTCTTCAAATATTTTTCTCTAGCTTATCCATCTACTTCGTCTCTCTGTAGTATTTTGACCATTTTTGGTCTTTCCCGGCCTGACCCTTCTTAGCCTCTAGTTCTCCTTCATGTTCCTTGGATTGCTGTCCCCCTGCAGCTCCTTTCTCTGTAATCTTACAGCTCTGTAACTGCAGCTACCACCTAGTCAGAGATGACTTCTCAAATCTCTCCAGAGAAGTCAGCTTCTGACTCTCATTTTTACATTAATATGCCAAACAAAACCCATTATTTGTCCTTAAACATCTGCCATTCTAATTTCCTACCTTTGTGATCTTGATATTACTGTTCAAGTTGGAAAGCTCAAAACCAGGTGGAAGTTATCTCCAATTTTCCCCATATTAAGCTATTATTACTATAGTGAATACAGCATAATCTCGAAACAAAAGTATTTTGTGATACAAATCAAAGGCTAGAAGTAGGTATTTTATCGGTCCTGATGTAAAATTCTGGAATTAGTGCAGGAGAAACCTAAATGACTCTCGTTTCCAGAAAAATGGAAAGCTCTGGCTACACTCTCATAATTCTTGGTGGCAAAAATAGGATGAAGCTAAGAAAGTGTCGATCCCTTTAAATCAATCAATGCAGGAAAATTTTTGTCATGACCCTCACAAGTAGTCCCTGGTTTATGACAGGTTTGTTTTCCAATCTTGCCATTTTAACTTCATTCTGACACAAGTTAAATTTTTCTTTTAGTTTTTATTATTACTGCCTTTTATAATCTGTATCTTTATAAACCCAATCTTTATTTGTTTTTGGGAGATGGGAAGATCAGTGGTTCGAATCTGCCAACTGCTCCACAGGAGAAAGATGTAGCAGTGAGCTTCCATAAGGATGACAGCCTTGGAAACTTGATGGGACAGGACAGTCTGTCCTATAAGGCTGTTAGGAACTGGAGTCAACTCAATGGCAGCAAGTCTGGTTTGGGAGTTGGAAAAATTCCTCTTAAACTTACAGATATATTTTAACATTAAATATAGTACATATTACTAATGATAAGATGTATAAACAAACCATACCCAAAGAAAAAAACAAATGGTGATATGTGCAGCTTGTCATACCTTGAATATAAGTTACAATCCACTTAAATTTTTCCCTAATCCACTTAAATTTTTCCCTAATATTTTACTTCTGGTTCCCTTCACTTAATTACATTACCTGTGTCATTCTTGTCAGCATATATGATTTTGTAGGACCTTGAAGTTTTCAATTTTGCCTTACTTTTATATGTTTACACCCAAATCAAACCAAATGAAACTCACTGTCATCAAGTCCATTCTGATGACCTTATAAGTCAGAGTTTAACTGCCCCCATAGAGTTTCCAAAGTTATAATTTACAAGAAACCAAATTCCCTCATATCTCTCATATCTATTGGCTGGCAGCTGAGAATTTAATCACGGTGCCAATGTTGTTGCTGTTGTTGTTAAGCACCTTTCAGTCGAGTTTGACTCAAAGCAACCCAGCATAGGGTTTCCAAGGAGCAGTAGGCAGGTTTGACCTGCTGACCTACTCTGATTTTATGTTACAAAAACTTAAAAAAAACAAAGAAACGGTTAACAATTAAGGCTGTGAAAGAGATACACATCAAGTTTGGACTTTAAATTAAGGATGTGGCTCAACAAACATTTGATGATAACTAACACATGTCAAAAGAGAAAAATGGCTCAAGCTAGAATAAGGAGGAGAGCAAAGCACATGATATGTGTAGAGAGTAAAAGCCCAAGTATTTACAATAGGGAGTAATTGTTATCAGGACTGATTGTGAGGGTTGGAAATGTAAAGATAGACGTTTTATAGCAAGGAAGGGAGTGATTAACTTTCCAGTCTAGGAGCGGAGGTCCCTAGGACCATCAATGGATAAGAGCGGAGAGTGGGACCCTACCCAGAGAAGCTGAAATGGAGCCAGAGATGATGACGTGGAGCGATGGAGCAGCTGGGGACTTTAGATCCAGAGAGGGAGAGCGACTGTATGCTGAAGACTGAGGCAGGGTGGAGTGTGGGGGGCAGACTTGCAGCGTATACCCTTTGGTTGGTTGATGATGCATGGGGGGGATTGTAATCTTGGCAATGAGACGATATATGTAGAATGAATGTAAAACTAATGTTCTCCCATGTAAACTATCACATAATTCACAATAAAACATTAAAAAACAAAACAAAAACCCAAGTATTTAATTTGGAAACAGCATTCAGCAATTATACACTGGATTACTGAGAGACAATGTGGCATAATGCTTTGGAGTGTGATTCAAATCTCAGTTCCACTACTTAGAACACCTACTGCTTACTTACAACTGTCTAGTTATCTCACACTTTGCAATTATGGCCAACAGAAAAAAAATTACTTCTGACTATTTTGTGCAGTAATGAACATCAAAGTGTGAGGCGAGAGTAACACTGGCTGCAGTGGTGGTTATGTGCCGTGGAGTCGGTTCCAACTCACAGGGACCCTGCACAGGTTTTTCCGAGGCTGTAAATCTTTACGGGAGCAGAAAAACTCATCTTTCTCCCGCGGAACTGCTGGTAGTTTCGAACTGCTGGCCATGAGGTTAGCAGCCTGACTCGTAACCACAATGCTACCAGAGCTCCTATGTGACAATTTGGCTGGGCTGCGATTCCCAGTGGTTTGGCAGTTCCGTAATGCTCATCCTTCATTTTGTGACCTGATGTGGTCATACTCTATTTTCGTATAATGCCAATTTTCACTTAACAACCTGATCTTTGTAATGTGACCATGTCACTAGTTGAAGAATGGGTGTAGTTAAGTGTGTAACCTCTGACAAGTTACTTAAAATGACTGAGTTTGTGTTTCTTGAACTATTAAGATATTTAAGGACATTTTTCAATATAAACATAATATAGTTGGTACACAACAATTATTAATCCTCTGTCTAGCACCCCAATTACATACAGCACAAAGTGGTCCAGAGGGCTAGGTACAAGGAAGGTGACTTGTTTAAGTGTTTATAGTTAGTGGAGAATCAGAATTCCCACTTTCTCACTCAGTATATTTGCTTTTAAACCACCATCACAATAATAACAAAAAAGATCTTAATCAGACAAGAAGAGCATTACTACAGAAAAGGAGATGACTTTATATAATAGCAGAATTTAAGTTTAAAAGTATTAAGTTCTGAAAGAGCTTCCTACTAAGATTTTATGTGGTTTTGATAATTATATATAAGAGCCTTTTATCTTAAGAAACACTACACAGTAAGAAATAGCAGTTTTACAACATGGGCTTCCTTATAAATTTAAGACCTTCTAAAATGGCAACTTAGTAACAAGTCTAAAAATTCACAGGGTTTTAGAGAATATAGTATTTAGGGGTTGCCTCCTAACAAACTCATCAGTTTACAACAGCTTCTAAGTGAAGCTGGACTTTTTTCTTTCTTTCTTTCAGTATTCAACTTAAAAGATCTCTGGCCAGCAGACTAAAATGTTTGTTTTATAATTGCCCGCTGAACTATGACAGTCTGTTTCCAGATGGTGCCCTTCCTTCAACCTGCACACAATCTTTCCTTGTTCAGAGCTATTCAAACTCCTGCTGATCCCACAACCCCCACCCCTATTTAAGGCTACAGAAAGGAAATCCTAAGGAGGAGATCCCCCCAGTCACCCCCCTACCCCAGGGCTCTAGCAATTTTTTTGGTGATGTAATTTGTGGGCTGAACTTGAGTCTACTGAGAAGGAGAGGGAATCACTATTCAAGGGTACTGTAGATACAATCTGGGTCAGCTGCAGCTGGTTACTGCATTTCTCCATGTGACAGACAGAGCAAAGCCACAATGCTTTCTCCGCTGGATTAAAGACAGCCCACAGACCAGAACTTCCATTATACTATTTAAAATTACATAGGTAGCTTGTCAAATTCTATTGATTAGTACTTTAAGAAGAAAAAGAAGTTTCTTATTACAGCTTGGATTCAACGGCCCCAAACCAAAATGCAGCTGCCATTCGAGTCACAGATGAACAAACTTCAACACTGATTTTTAAAATCAAGGATAAGGCAGCAAGTGTCTGGATTCCTTTTATCAACAGATACAAAAAGGTATTTTAATATTTCTTTACTCTTATTTAAAAATGCTTTGTATGTTGACATGCATAATTATTTTACATCTGCAGGAGAGAAATGTCCAAATCTCTTATAAAACAAAGAATTTTGGCATATACTACAATTTTCTCTCATACAGGATGCATTTTGCATTTTTATGTAAAAAACTCGTTATTGAGAAGTTTGAGAGCGACATTATTTGAGGTTCCATTTGGTGATATTTGTTGTACATAATTATAGACTGATATATACCTGCTGCTTTTCAGAAAACAAGTACTTTAAAAACACTAGGATGATAATTAACAAGTAACAAATTCACTGATGACAAACAAAAATATACAAATTAAAGAGAACTATAAAAGCGTCTAGCTTTTCTTCCTGCAACTATAGTATGTGAATTGAAGATTCATATATATGGTTGGATTTCTCAAAGTATAGTTACAAAATTAACTGTGAAGACATAAAAATAACTGAAAGGCTTTGTGCTACCACCTCCATTATACAACCAAATATTAAGCAGAAAATCCTATTAAAGATTTAGATACATCCACATAGTATTTCTTGCTATAACTCAAATATCTAACAAATTTCCTAGGTTTCCCATTTAAAAATAATTTAACTTTGGGCAATAGAAATAAAAACTCCTATAAAGCCAGAGTATTTTGGAAAGTAAAACTACTGATATATAAAAACTTGAAAACTTTCTTACAGATTATGAATAGAAAATATAAAATGCGATCAAATTATAATGTAAGTAGTTAGCATAAAACCTAAGCATCAAGAAAAGATATTTGACATGATGAAAAGACAAAAATACCTAGTGTGTTTAGAAAGAAGTATTTCTGATAAACATATACAAGAGGTTTCCTTCCAATTCCATTTGAAGGCTTTATTATTATTATGAAAAATTTTTAAAAATTACTAGTTTCCAATAGCAAGTTTTAACGTCAAAGACATTTTGTTATGATTTGGAGATACTCTGGCCTCTTAAAAAGTACCCATGTTACTGGGAAAAATTTTAACAAACAAATGATGGTAAAGTAAAGCTAAGATTTTTCATCTTTGTTTTCATATCCTTTCCTCAAAGGTTCAAAACTCCCTCAAATGACTAAAATACTGGGAATAGCTGTATTTTAATTCTTTTCAATCACGTATTTTAATTCTGATAAAATTTCTAAGCAATACTGGACCTGAAATACTTGCCACCTTTTTGTTACCTGAAAAGTGGAGGGTCTCATTAAAGTCTCAATTCTTACTTAAGCTTTAGACAATCATTTAATCTGAAACCCAAATCACACATGTAACTAGAGGTTGTGTGCCATCGAGTCAAGTCCAACTCCTAGCAACCCTGTGTAGGGTTTCCAAGGCTGTAAATCTTTATGGGAGCAGAAAGCCTCATCTTTTCCCTGGCGAGCACCTGGTGGATTTGAAGTGCTGACCTTGAGGTTAGCAGCCCAATGTGTAACCTACTATGCCACCAGGGCTCCTTACACATGTAACTATTTCTTCCTTTTAAACATATCTTCAGGTGGTATCAGTTTGTTCCCAAGTCTCTTTCCAGAACATAGTTCACAATCTAGAAAGTTTTCATCTTATATATCCTCAATGCCTTATACATTTAAGTTCACTGCCTCATGCTGTTTTCAGTGCATGATACAGCCAGTAAATGCCTCTCTATGAGTTTACCATCTGAAAGGAAGTAAATCCTAGGTTTTATTTCTTCTACTAGCTGGCAATAGAGCAACTATGAAGAAAAACAGTACCAATAAAATTAACTCAATGCATGGAAAACATCCCCCACATCCCCTTAAAAACAACTAAGAAAATATGTAGATTTAAACTTAAGTATACGGTAACCAATTTATAATATTCTCTTGGGGCCTAGGAAAATTTTAACATATACAGAAAGGTTTTATGAGGTAACACAGATTTATGGCTCTTTCCCTTTTAAAACTGAAAATATGTGAGAAAATATTAAATAAGAGTATGTTTTTAGAAAATGCAATAATAAAAGTATTTTAAAAATTAACTCTTTACTCAAGCTCTGAATTAAACATGTACATGATCCATCATTTCTCTATGAAAAGTAAATGGCGTAACTTAAAGAATGTGGCTCCTTGCACTCTGCTCTGGGAACAATGATGGCATTACTTTTGTAAGGGTAAAGGAACTACATTTACTTATTTATTTGAAAAATAAACCTTGTGTTTTTTTAAAAAATAACCTTTTTCTCTTTTAAGGGCTAATTTAAGGCCATATTTTCTTATGGTCGGCAGTGCTTTATCTATAACTCAGTCTTAACACAAACTACAGGGAACCATATGAGTCAAGGCAGAATACACAAAAGGAAGATACTGTAATCTTAGGTTAGTATATCGATAAACGGGTTTGTTCAAGGCAACACTGAAGAAAAATCACCATAACCTTCTTGGATGTATGTGCTCTTAGTTGTTCTCTAAGAATCCATGCCTAAGAAGAGGGTGCTTCAAAAACTTTGTGGAGAAATTCCATTACCTTTCAATTCCGTTTTTCCATGAACTTTTTGAAGCTCCTTCATGTTAATAAATTATTCAATTAGACTATTGTTGATAAAATTCTCTGTATTTTGAAGTTTCATGTTTTCTTAATTTCCCTTGCTTTTTGTCACAGTATATCATGTAAATAAAATAATTTGTGATCTAAGAGTTCCCTTTCTGTTCTTAAAGTAAAATGAATAGATTCTAGCACTGGACAAGTAAGCTATAAGGGAGAAATACTGTACATTTACCCAGAAGACTCCTTAGATTTTAGTTTATTGTTGTTAAGTGTCCAGTTGGTTCTGATTCATAGTGACCCTGTACAGCATTTCCAAGGAACACCACACCAGGACTTCATAGGTTTTAGTTTACCATATCCAAATGCCATGAACCAATAAATATAAAGTTAGCTTTAAAAATCAGTTTTTGATCGAGGTAATTCTTATGCCATGAAAATCCTTAAAAAGCAAAAACAAAACAAAAACGATTCTTAAGGCCTAAACTGTCTACCATTGCCAGAAGGCAAAGTACAAAAAACATAAAAACTACAAACGCTCATCCAAGAGGAATGTTATTAAGCTCAGCCTCTCAGTCTTGATTAAGTTAGTAAAAGACAAATAACCCTCAACATTCCGTCCATTCTTTGTTTTTTAAACATCCTGAAAACACAACTTATTTGATAACAGCAAAAAAAAGTAGTAAGAAGCTTCTTGACAACAGTGGAAGCCTCTACATTTCATTGATGTTGTTCAGTGCCATGGAGTTGATAATGATGCATAATGATCCTGTGTGGGTTTGAACTGCCAACCTTATGGTTAGCAGTCCAGTGCTTATCCTTACAGGGAGGGCTTGTATGTGAGTAGATTAAAACCATTTGCTATCAAGTTACTTCTGACTGGGATTGAGTACATGTGTGTCATATTGTGCTCTATGTTGTAGTTAAGTGCCATCAAGTCGGTTCTGACTCATAGTGACACTATATAGGGCTTCCAGGGAGCAGCTGGTAGGTATGAACTGCCAGCATTGTGGTTCACAGTCCAGTGCTTCCAATACTTGCTAATTTGGAAGCAGAGCACTAGCTCTTTCTTCTAAGGCATCTCTGGGTAGATTCGAATTTCCAACCTTAGCAGTTAAGTTCATTAACCATTTGCATCAACCAGGGACTCTAAATAGCAAATCAGATATATAAATATTAACTGGTAGATATGAGGATAAACCAGAAAGTATTGCTACTAAGGTTTCAGTCAGTTTATACATGCATGAGGTTATTCTAAACAAAACATGTTTAAACATGTCTCTGTAAGCAATGGAGGGTTGCCAGCAAGTTCTCCCTGTAATACACTTGTCTGTGCTTTCTTGTTAAGTGCCGTCTAGTGGGTTCTGACTCAGAGATTCCAAGGAGCTGCTGGTGGGTTTGAACAGCTGACCTACCAGTGAGCAGTCCACTGTGCCACACTAGGACCTGGAGCTGTGTTAAAGTATCTTAAATAAAAAAATAAAGGATACTTTTTGTGCTATGGGAAAACAAAGATCTTCAGGTCAGGGCTAATAATCACGTTTTTAACAAAATTCCAGTGAACCTCTTCCCAAATCATAAACTTTGCAACAAATTTACAGGAATGTTGCTCCATGTGAAACAAATTTTTAGATATATCAAGCTTTTTTTTCAGAAAGAGCCAGTTTATTAATTTCTAAAACTTTGCCATTAATTTCTACGAAGTGCCGATGGTCACCTGCCACACATGCATCAGGTTATCTGCGTAGCCAGCAAACAGGGTCTGGCTATCAACAAACCAGGCCAGAGAGGTACACTAGGGAAGCTCTGCCCTGCTATTTCGTGATGCGAACTTCCTGCTTCAGTTCATCAGCGATGATCTTGCCCTCCAAGTGCCAGGGCCTGTAGCAGCACAGAGCCAGTAGCGGTTGGGGCTGAAGCATAGAGCACTGATGATGTCCCCACCACCTAAGGTACAGAGGTGCTTGCCTTCATTGAGGTTCCAGAGCATGGCCTGGCCATGCTTGCATCTGGATGCACAAAGGGAACCATCTGGAGACACAAGGTGTTCAGGTACCCTGTGTGGCCAATGTGGTTGGTTTTCAGCTTGCAGTTAGCCAAGTTTCATACCTTGACCAACTTGTCCCAGCCACGGGAGACAATGATGGGATTGCTGCTATTGGGCAGAAAATGAACGCAAGACACCCACTCCTAGTGGCTCTCTTCCTGGACAGTGTACTTGCAGATATCCAGAGTATTCCACAGTTTGATGGTTTTATCTTGCGAGTCAGACACAATTTGCTGGTTGTCAGAGGAGAATGCCACACTCAGCACATCCTTGGTATGGTCTACAAATCAGCATGTGGTGGTGCCCGTTGTGAGATCCCAGAGATGTAGCATTCCAGCTCAGGAACCAGAGAGGGCAAACTGGCCATCAGAGGAAATGACCACATCACTAACGAAGTGAGAGTGACCACATAGAGTACGTTGGGGTATGCCACAGTTGATCTCATCCCTGGTCAGCTTCAACATGATGATGGCCTATCTTGAGAGGCGGACAATATCATGTCCGGGAACTGAAGAGTGGTAGCAATTTGGGTCACCCAGCCATTGTGGCCCTTGAGGGTGCCACAAAGGGTGATTTGTTCAGTCATAGCAGCAGCGAGTGTGGGAGTCACTGCAGCGACGAGGATGGCAACCAATAGCTCAGAGATACCAGCAGCACCAGATGTATCAAGTGTTTAAAGAAAGGCTGGGAAGGCTTCAAAGATGAACCAAGAGAGGAAGATCGTCAACCTTGATGAACGAAGAAATCGTGGCTCAAGTCCAGAAATTGGTGGAAGAAGACTATAGAATTACCATTGCTGCGATAGCTACTTAAGTTGGGATCTCACATGGTTTGGCATTTTCAAATTTAAGTGAATCTTGGCCTCAGCAAGCTTTGGCTCACTGGGTGTGAAAAGCGTTACACAAACATCAGCTAGTTCAAATGGCTGATTAGTTTTTAAGCAATATTGAAGTTAATGAAGATGATTTTATAGAATGAATAACTGAGTACAAGTCTTGGATTTACCAATACAAACAAGAAAGCAAGGTCCAATCAAAACAAAGGCTCCTGAGGGGATCTGGCTGGGCCCATTAAATTCAAAGCAAAGAGCTCATCTTAGAAAGTTATGACAACTATTTTTTAGAATTCCAAAGGGGTAATCTTGATACACTTTCTTCAAGGACACAGGAGATTTCTTAAGAAGCTTTAAGAAAATTGGAAACTGCACTGTTGAGGAGGAGGCCAGGAAAGTTGTGCTGAGAGAGACTTTTCCATCACAGCCACATGCCCACTCACCCTTCCAAGGTTGCAAATGCTGTCCTCCATGAATTTCACTGGAAAACCTATCCCCATCTACCCTACAGTCCCTGTCTGTCCTTTCAGACTTTTTTGTTCCTGAAAGCATTTAAAAGGAAAACAATGGGTCCAAGGATGCCAAAACTGCTATTTTGATGTGGTGTAAATTGAACGATGGCTCCATATGATAAGCACTGGACTGTGAATCACAAGGTACACAGTTTGAGCCTGCCAACCACTCTGCGGGAGAAAGATGTGGCTTTCTGTTCCTGAGAAGATTTAAACCTTGAAACCCTATACAGGGTAGCTATAAGTGGTAACTGATGGCATGTTAACACCACCACAATGAGCAAAGAGTGCAGAGTTCTTTAGGGAAATATTAGAGATGTAGTATAGAGCTAGATGGAAGATATATGTTGCACATTTTGATATTTTTGTTTAATAAAGATTTCTATGACTTTGTAGCAATACTTTTCCACTCACCCTTGTATATGTTTGGTTGGATGGTTGTGTGCCGTGGAGTCAGTTTTGACTCATAGCTATCCTGCAAAGGGTTTCCAAGGCTGTAAATCTTTATGGGAGCAGAAAGCCTCATCTTTCTCCTGTGGAACAGCTGGTAGTTTCGAGCTGCTGACCTTAAGGTTCGCAGGCCGATTCATAACCACTATGCTACCAGAGCTAGAGGGAAACAAATCCTGGTATGTATAAATGATAGAAACAAACTCTGACAGAAATGATCCATAAATATTTCTGCATAACTAAGTAACAGGTAAAAGAATAAGCCTGCAAAATAAAATGAAAAAAATAAATACACACTTTGTGGTTACAACATGACTAGGAGAAAATCACATGACTAAGGTAAACAGGTCAAACCCACCAGCCGCTCTCTGAAACCCTACATAGGGCCGCTGTGAGTTGGAACCAACTCGATGGCACATAACACAAAGAGATTTAAAAAAAAAAAAAATCACAACTTTAGAAAAGTTCACGAGGACTTGAATCACATCTGTGTTTCAGCTTCCTCAGGACGTTATTCATTTGTGACAAGGTATAATATTTACTTCACAGTGTTGTAAACACAATTAATTAATAAGAGATTGTCACAGAGTGGTGATAAAAAACTGGTTTGAATACGTTGCCGTATAATAGAGTGGCTAATTATGAACATGGACTGTCAAGTCTTCTGCCTGGGTATGAATTCTGCTCAACTTTTAGAAGCTGTGTGGCTCCTGAGTGAAGTATTTAATACTGGATGCCAGTTTCTTTATTGGAAAGTGAGGGTCTGGACAGATCATCTCTACATATAAGGGCTGTGATGTTGTTAAGTGCTGTCAAGTCAGTTTGGACTCATAGTGACCCTTATAGGGTTTCCGAGGAGTGGCTACTAGGCTTGAACGGCCAATCTTGTGGTTCAAACCAACCTTGCAGTCCAGTGCATTATCCCATAATGCCATACCAGGACTCCTATACGGCTGTTGTTAAGTGCTGTTGAGTCGATTCCGACCCATAGCAACCCTGTAGAGGGTTTCCCAGGAGCAGCTGGTGAGCCTGAACCACTGACCTTGCAGTTCAAATGACTTTTGCAGTCTGATGCATTAGCCCACAGTGCCACACCAGGACTCCTAAGGGCTTAAAATAGTGCTTGGCCCGTACCAAGCACCTTACCCAAATAACTATTAATTGTTATTAATAGGAAATGTTAATAATTTGGAACTTGGCTTCTAAAATCAAGAAACAAGTACTTGGGTGGAAATTGGATGGAAAAGCTCTGACTTACGATATCCACTACCATTCTGCAAAGTTGTTATTGTTGTGTGCTATCGATTCAGTTGTGACTCATAGCAATCCTGTATAGTGTTTCTGAAGAACGACTGGTGAGCTTGAACAGCAGATCTTGCAGTTCAAACGACCTTGCAGTCAGCGGCATTAACCCAAAGTGCCACACCAGGACTCCTTCAGCAAAAATTGTTGTTGTTAGGTGCCATCGAGTCGGTACCGACCCATAACGACCTTATGCACAGCAGAACAAAACACTGCCTGATCCTGGGCCAACCTCACTATTGTTGCCACGCATGAGTTCATCGATGCTGCCACTTGGCCAATCCATGTCATTGGGGGTCTTCCTCTTTTTCTCTGACCCTTCACTTTACCAAACATGAAATCCTTCTACAGCGACTGGTCCCTCCTGACAAATATGGCAATTGAGATTATGAGAGTGGGAAGGTGGACTATAGTATGTTGTTTTTGTTGTTAAGTGCCATCAAGTCAGTTCCAACCCAATGAAACCCTGTATAGGGTTTCTGAGGAGCAGCTGGTGAGCTTGAACCGCCAATCTTGCAGTTTAAACGACTTTGCGGTCTGGCGCATTAACTCACAGCAACTAATGAACCTGAGAGAATACAGCTTTACCCAAAACTTTTGGGAGGTTAACTAATGAGAAAGAAGAAGTTTTCGTTCTTGGAACTAGCTGTAGTATATCCTCAGTAAACATTGTAACATGGAAAAGCATTTCTCAATTGTCAAAGTGATAATGAAACATTATAAACACACAATTTAGCATATCTGAGATATTTTCACAAATAATCAGTTCACATAAATAACACACACAAGCATACAGTGTATTTAGGAAACCAATACACTAGAGGGTTTTGCTTCGTGCAAAAAGCCCATATAATGTGTGCTTGATTTGCGTAAGATACAGCACGTGCCACTGCTATACACACTAAGATCTGGCTTCATCAGTGCAAAGTTCTTAAATGAGATAGCATTTTCCAACTCCAACATTCATATCCAATCAAGATCATTTCTACAACCCTATCATAGGAAAGGAGTCCTGGTGTGGCGCTGTGGGTTAATGTACCAGACTGCAAGGACGGTGGTTCAAACTCACCAGCTGCTCCTTGGAAACTCTATACAGGGTCGCTATGGGTCAGAATGGACTCGACGGCACTTAACAACAACAACATCATGGGAAAAACTATTAACGTTTAATTAAAATAGTTTAGCAGCACGTTGGTCAGTATGAATCTGTTGAAACATATATAAGCTTAGAGCACAGAAGTTTAAGAAAAAAAAAATGTTATCCTCAATAACTACTGAGAGAATTCTGCCATTCTTAAACCTATCGCCACCAATCCCAAAAGACAATAATACTGTGGTGGGGTTTGGAGGTGGCGACTAAAATGGGTGGGGGTAAGCTGTAATAAAACAATATTGTTGTTGTTTCTGAGTGCTGTCAAGTTAGTTCTGACTCATAGCGAACCTTTTTAGGGTTTCTAAGGAGAGGCTGGTGAGTTTGAACCACCGAGCTTGTGATTCAAACTAACCTTGTAGTCAGGTGCTTTATTCCACAGTGCCACACCAGATACATGACACTAAAACATTCTGGTTTCAGACTTATTTAAAGTGTTTATTTAACTTGATAGTTTAAAAAACATATGGCATTTATTATAGAAGACCAATTTGATTGAAACTGCATAGTATAAATATAAAGGTTTGACTAGTAGAAACTCACATGGCCACTGCAAGAGCAGAGTTTGGCAAGAGTATTTTAATTATTACTTTACCATTTCCACATTCTTAATGAGTGAGCTCTTTAAAATAAGGTGTCTTATTAAGTCTCAAAAGTCCAGTAGCACCTAGTAGCATGCCTTTATACACAGTAGGCTACTCACTAAAATCTGCACCATGAGCTGGGAAACAAAAAGTGTTACAGGTAAGGGGTAGATGGGAGAGCCAGTCTCTGAAGCCCGATCTTTCAACAAATGCCAGGAACCTATAATTTAATCATTATAATCTGACGTTTTAAAAATTAAGACTATTCCTTCTGGCACAGTTTATTAATAGCAAGAAATACCCAATTTCTACTTCAGATAGTTTCTTATGTTATTGACTTTTAAAAAGTAGATTAATAAGAATTCTTTTTACTTTTTCCCCTTCACGGATTTGCTTCTCTAAAGACGCTGTTGTGCAACCCCATTTCAAAATGAAGGCTTTTATCTGGATCCTGGGTGTGTTCATCTTCACATTAATGAGCACTCAACGCTGCGGAGGAGGACAATTCAAAATAAAACAAATAACTCAAAGGAGATACCCTCGGGCTGCAGATGGCAAAGAGGAAGCAAAGAAATGTGCGTACACATTCCTAGTACCCGAACAAAAAATAACAGGACCCATCTGTGTCAACACCAAAGGGCAAGATGCAGGTACCATTAAAGACATGATCACCAAGATGGACCTTGAAAATCTGAAGGATGTGCTCTCCAGGCAGAAGCGGGAGATAGATGTCTTGCAACTGGTGGTGGATGTTGATGGAAACATTGTGAATGAAGTAAAGCTGCTGAGAAAAGAAAGCCGTAATATGAACTCCCGTGTTACTCAACTCTATATGCAATTGCTACACGAGATTATCCGTAAGAGGGATAATTCGCTTGAACTATCCCAGTTGGAAAACAAAATCCTCAATGTCACCACAGAAATGCTGAAGATGGCAACTAGGTACAGGGAACTAGAGGTGAAATACGCTTCCTTGACTGATCTTGTCAATAACCAGTCAGTGATGATCACTTTGTTGGAGGAACAGTGCTTGAGGATGTTTTCCCGACAAGACACCCATGTATCTCCTCCTCTTGTCCAGGTGGTGCCACAACACATTCCTAACAGCCATCAGTACACTCCTGGTCTGCTGGGAGGTAATGAGATACAGAGGGATCCAGGCTATCCCAGGGATTTAAAACCACCACCTGATCTGGCAACAGCTCCCACCAAAAGTCCTTTCAAGATACCACCAGTAACTTTCATCAATGAAGGTGAGTTATCCCTTAACCAGTAAAAAGAGAAGTTATTAGGCTGGTCGGTTTGAACCACAAGGTCGGCGGTTCAAGCTCACCAGCAGTTCCTCAAAAACCTTATACAGGGTCGCTTCTGAGTCATAACTGCCTCGACGGCACTTAACAAAAGCAGCAGCAACAACAGACTTTGTGGTTTATAAAACAATACTCCTAAGATCAGAACTGAAATATCTCCTCTTTCAAATCTGAGGCTCTAAACAAACAACAACAACAAGACAAGCCCCAAACTCATTGCCATCCAGTCAATTCCGACTCATAGCAACCCTCTAGAATAGAAAAGAAATGTCCCGGTGGGTTTCGAGGCTGTAAATCTTACAGAAGCAGGCGGCCAAACCTTTCTCCAGCAGAGTGGCTAATCACCTGACCTTTTGGTTGGCAGCTGAGTGCTTAACTAATGCACCACCAGGGCTCCTGTAGGATCACTGTGGGTCGAAGGTGACTCGAAAGCAACAAGTTCTTAGGCTGTAAAGAGGTTATAAAAACTTGGCTTCTTCTGTGAAAAAAGTAGTCTCCAATCCAAGTTTTCACAATCTAAATGACTATCACTAAGACACAGTGGGCCCAAGATCACGCCTAACCTATGGAGTGTTTTAGCAGGGGACTGACTACTGCCCAACAAACCTTGTGTCACTGTAGGATAAGCACGCGATCACAAGGTTGGTTTGAACCCCAAAGGTCGGCGGTGCAAGTACATTATTAGTTGCTCCTCGTAAACAGTCACTATGAGTTGGAACCGAATCACTGGCACTTAACAACAACCTTCCTCACAAAGGACATTAATTACACTTCCCCTTTCTCTCTGGATGTTGTTGTGAAGTGCCCTCGAGTCGGTTCCGACCTATAGCAACCCGGTATAGGGTTTCCAAAGAGCAGCTGGTGAGCTTGAACAGCCAACCTTGCAGTTCAAACAGCTTTGCAGTCTAGCTCATTAATCCACAGCGCCACACCAGATAGCAATGGGATTTTACTCTTTGGTTTATGCCTTTGAAAAGAACTTTCTTCAAGTTACTCTCCTTTGAAGGTCACATTCACCTTCTTTACAAAGTCAAAGTGTCCCCACTGCTCAGTTGACTCCAGAATAGAGCTCTGCCTCCCCTTTCTAACCAAGCTGGGTATCCTACGACTACTTGATATGCTGCTGGCTGCTCCCAGTACTCAAGTGCCTTCTTTTAGCTCATCTGTCAATTTAGCAGATTCCAAGGCTTAGCTCAAATGAGAGCTGTAATGTCACATCTTCCCAGATTCAAACAAACACTGACACGGCTCTTTTCCTCATATTGCTGACTATAGTTTGAACATGTTTTCTGTGCGAAATCATACTGCAGTTGTTTGTTTACATGTCTGTATCGCTGTTAAGACTGAATGCTTTTTTCCTCTCACGTGTCTAGACAGGATTGTGTTTGGCACATTGTGCTCAGCATTTTGTAGGCACTATGATAAATATTTGAGGAATACATAAATGACTAGTAACTAAACCCCAAAATAATCCTTTCCCCAAACTTGTATTCTTCTTTTAGAAAGAATAATTATGTAAAAGGTGACACATATTTATTGAAGAACATCCAGAAAATATGCGTAAAATTTTTTAAAAGCCTCAATGAATAGTCAAACACTAAAAAAACCACAGTAAACAATATGATGATAACCCTCAGTCTTTTTCCTTTTCTCTCATATATCAACATTCTGATAACCTTTCTTTAAGTATAAATCCTTAGGGCAAATTTGTGTAAGCAAAACTGATGGCTCAAATTTTACCTTTTTGCTATATGCTAAGTGGATGTATGCTAAGATCCACTTCAGAGTTATCTTGGCTCATCCTTGGCATATCCCTCTTACCCCATACACCTAGTCAAATGAGTTCTATCCGTTTCCCTAATTCAGTCTCTCACGAGCATGCTCATTTCTATTCAGAGTCAGAATTCTTAGATACAAATTATCTATGGCAGCAGCTAGAGGTAAGAAACTTGTGGATTAGTAGCTTTGTGACCTTGGAAAGTGAGAGTGCAGGGATGCTTAGTTACTCAGTTTCTTCATCCATAAAATGGGGATAAGAACAGCACTTATACCTCAGAAAGTTTAATACTTGAAAGTTTAATACTTGAAAAGTGCTTAGAATGGTGCCTGGCTTCATATAGTATTCAAATGTTAGCTCTGACTAACAATCATATAACAAATAGATTGCCAGTGGGTCTAACTCCAACTGCTCTCTCCATCAAAATATACAAAGATTCATCTTCATAAATTTCCATTTTGATAGAATCATACTTCTGGCTCAGCAGTTCTACACTGTAAACTGAAAAAGTCCAAATTGCTTAGACTGGGTAATGAATAATATTTCCCTCAAGAGAACCAAGCCATTTCTCAAGTTTTAATTCCACTAATTTCCTTCACAAAAAACATCTGTTCTAATAAAATGAATTCACTCCTTGCCTCCTAAATATTTCCTGCATTTTCTGCCTGTTCAAATTATAAAGTTTAGACACAACTGTGGCTCCTCACCGGAACTCTCATTGCCTCCCTCAGGCCTGGCATGACTGTGACTCTCCATGAACACCTCTGTACCATACCCTGTAGCACACCGTGTTTCTCTTAGATTTCTTTGTGACTCATGGTCATACAACACTTAAACACATCTAAATAAAATGCCTTCCAACTAGATTCTAAGCTTTTGGTAGATGGCTGTTGCATCTTATTTGCAGATGCTGAATATATATATTAATTGATTTGGTAATACATTTTTATAGCTTATTAAAACTGTTGTCTCAAGACCTTCATGAAAGGGTTTTAATACATTAGTTCCAGAATAATTTTAAATAGTGTTCTCTCAGTATCAACAGGCCTGAGTGTCTGTAATGACTGTCATTATCAGTATTCCTATATCCTTTGATTTCCAAAGGAAAGATGTGTACAAAATGATCTACTGGGCATAGAAAGATAATATTAAGACCTTGTATTTATTTTTTATACCCTTTAAAATGTCTTGTAGGTTTTTTTAATGTATATAATTTACCAATATAGTAGTATGTACATATAGTTTATAAATAAACATTATCGAGGTGTGTGGATTTTGTTGTTTTTTTAAGTGATGAGGTATACAATTAAAAGGACAAAGATGGCTGCCATGTAGTGTTCTACCTGGGTCCTAAATCTTAAGTGGGTTCTTGTTGTTATGTGCCGTGGAGTTGGTTCTGACTCATAGTGACCCTGTACAGGGGTTCTGAGGCTGTAAATTTTTATGGGAGCAGAAAGCCTCATCTTTCTTCCATGGAACCAGCTGGTAGTTTCGAACTGCTGACCTTGCGGTTCACAGCCTGATTTGTAACCACTACGCTATCAGAGCTCCTTAAATCTTAAGCAGGTGTATGTCACCAATTTTAGAAGAAATAATTATCTGCATAATTCTACACCAATGACCTAGAGAATGCTTACACAAAATGAGACCTATCAGTTCTAGGTTTTATTATTTTGAGCTTTATTGTTGTTAAGTGCTATTGAATCAGTTCTGACTCATAGCAACCCCTGTAATAGGGTTTCCAAGGAGCAGCTAATCTAATGTTAAAGAATTAAAATACCCATGTCAAAAATCCCTTTAAGTGTACAATTGTCTTTAATGAAGCAATGGTATATATATCCTTAATGTACCAATAATGTAAAAATTAAGAACAGGTAACATTTTCTATAATCCATTATTTGTCCTAAATAAACAAACATTTTATTGATTTATTCTATTAAATGTTTGACTCTTAAATTAAGGACATAACTGATAGACCATAAGAATGTTCATTAACACACTAATGAATATAAGGGAAGAGATTCTGGATTACAGAGATAAAAAACCTGACTCCACCATTACATTTGTTATGTGCCCTTGGGTAAGTCATCTTGCCTGTTTTCTCTTCTGTAAAATGAGAGGGCTGTGGCTGGACTGGATGATTCTAATAGCCCTTTCCAGCTGCAGTGTTCTGTGATTCTTACCAAATATACATTACTACAAACAGCAACAAACAGACTTGGAAATTATCTTTAAGACACAAAAGTTGTGGAACATATTCTTATGACTGGGGTAGAGGAAACATGTCTAAAACTGTTTGGGTGGGTGCTTACTCAAAAAGGATAAAGTAAGATACTTACTGCTATTCTTAAGTATGCTCCTGGCACCAAGAAGTCTACATGACTACACTCTATGTGTAGGTAGCATAGCCATTCCAGTTGGCCTAAACACGTAATATGAAAATGCACAACACATTGCATTATTTATGGAGTTGTTTTAATGACAGGCAATTTTATATTTTCCTTTAAAATTGTTCTAAGAAAAATACATCTTAGAGCAAATAGTGAAATAATTCCACTAGCATAAAATAAATGATCTCCTGAAACAATGCTTTGCCTCTACTTTAAAATGTCTGGGAATGTAACCACAAATGTGGTGCTGACGGCAAATCCGAATCAAATGAATTCTTATCACAGTTCATATTATTCAGCAGCTTCATTTTGGGTTACCTTTCTATAAAAAGAAACATTCATTACTGGTATACAAAGTAGTATATTTATTTAAAAGAAGTTAATTTCTTGTAGCTAAATGATGTTGAGAAAGTCTTCACATTACAGATCTGAATGTCGGGAAACTGGGATCTGGCAAAGCTTCTCTGAGGCCCAGTGGCCACTTGTGAAAGAAGAGTGTTGTGATGGCTACATGAAGTAATGCATGCAAAAGTGCTTTGTGTATATTCTGCTATGGCCCCACCACCATTAATTCTTAGACTTTTTGTGTGCATTTACACCCTATGTGCTTTGCCTTGCTATAATTAATGTAGACTGTGAGGCTACAAAAGGAGACAATAAAAAGCATATAGTTATTAGAAATGAAAAATGTGCTTTTTAGTGGGTAAAGTCCTTGTGTCGCACAAACGGTACATGCAAGACTCCTCACTGAAAGACTGGCCGTTACGATTCACCTA